ATGGGAGAAATGGTGTTGCATGGTGGAGATGGAGGGATGTGTGTAAGGGGTGAGGGGGGGTTGCATGGCTGCATGGCGCAGCTCCAGAGATGGAGAGGAGAGGCCAGGGGAATGGAAATCGATACAGATTCAGGGCTCGCCAGATCGGCCTTAACAATGTGGCGCAGACGCACTCTACATCCCGATCACATACACATAGGAGAGAAGGAGGCGACACGTATGCAGGACAGACTGGAGCTTGTGCTATATAATAATGTGCTGTGTTATAGATAGGCCATACAGTTATGCAGGATGGGGAGCTGTGGTCTCTATAGTTGCAAACAGTCCAAATCTTACAAAAATCAATCATATTTTAGGCTATATGTGTGTGTGATAAATATTAATTTCAGCCTACAACATGAAGATTTATAGGCTACTAATTTAAAGTGGAATTAATTGAGTTTTGCCTCCACCACACACACACACACACACACACACACACACACACACACACACACATAGGAGCATGCTTCCTCACTCAGGGCTGCAGATAATGATGCACGGCGTGAGGTGTCATCTCATCTTCCATGAGCTGCGCTGAACCCCGGGATTTAAGCAAAATAGCCCGGAGGTATAACCTCAAGAAAATGACTGTTGCTCTCCCACTAGAGGATTTCAAAGGCGATGCTCGTACATGCGCTTCTCGGTACTTACAGCTCATGCGCTTAACGAACAACGAGGCTCTGAAAACCGCAGCTGCACTGTTTACTCCCCTATCTTTCCCTCACACATCAATTATTAACGTATCAATCGATCATTTCGCAGGCTAACATCAAGCCGAGTCTTCATGCAGGAAAAAAAAATCCTGTTTGAGATTAGCCTATCCCGCATCAATCACATCGTAATACTCAATCCAATTAAACCCATTATCCATGGCTCAAATGACCTCCCCAAAAAAGAGCATCACTCCTGACTGTTTAGGATTTATTTTTCGGGTGAGGGTCCAAATTTATTCCGCAGCTCCCAATGCAAACAAACAAACAAACACAAGCCAGGGATGTGATTTAAATGGAAACCCCCGAGTGGCTTCGCACTGGACAGGAAAGTAGGATGCTGTGATTGACGCGATTGTGGATTGTAATATTGATCGATGGGTGGAAGCTGTTGGATGAAATAATGGTGTTTAGGGCCTAACCAAGAATGCTATTAACTATGTACGGGTGGAAAACTCCACGCTTACCACTTTGGACTGTCCTCAAAACTGAGACAAGATGCTGCAGGTCAGCGTTCAGGGCGCACGTTTCAGCACCATGGACAGAGCCACAAAACCACAACATCTATATTTACCTTTATTGTGAAGGGATAGAATAAAAACCTGTAACCAGCTGTTACCATCCTCTACTAAAATATACAGCAAATTAATAATACAATAATTTATTTTAGGCATCCAGTTAAGACATAAGCCCACAACAGAACCTGAGAGTGGCTGGTCAGCTCTGTGAAAAATATTTTTACGTAACTCAATATAATGATGGAGTGCTTTACGCAGGGAAAGTGCGCAGTTTGACAGGAATGTGGGGGGTGGGTATAGCTCCAGGACTACAGGGCCTGCCTGCATGTACTGCATAAACTGCGTGTGTAGTCCATTGTAATGTGTGATGTGAATGGCGGCCCCCCCTGCACCCTCATTCGCAACAATGTTTTCCTCCGCGTCCTGTGGGTCTTGACCCGCGCACCCCTGGCACGTGTCTCCGGCCATTCAGATGGTAATGAACCAACTGCGCTTTTCTTGTTGGACCTTGGTATGCCATGGCACAGAGGAATTACGGCCCAAGAGGAAATGTCTGGTGAGAAATAGCTGTGTATATTTCACGCTACTGGAAATTACAACGTGTTGATTATGGGATGTTAACCCAAATATACAGTATTTTGTGTTGTGCAGCATCAGTGTGGAAAGATGTGTTGTAGGTGTGAGGCTAACCAATGGCTGCATAACCCAAACCCCAAAGGGCAAATGAGTGAGAGAGTGTACTTGATTACAGTATAGAAAAAAAGGCCTGTGCAGTAGCTTCTCTCTTTCTTTCTCTCTTTTTTTAAAACAGCTGTCCCTTTTCCTCACCCTTTTGTCCGGCTCCAGCCCCCCCCCCCCCCCCCCCCCCCCCCNCTCTCTCTCTCTCTCTCTCTCTCTCTCTCTCTCTCTCTCTCTCTCTGCTCCAGGGGAGAGACCAATGGGAGAGAGTGCTGAGGCGGGATAATTGATAGATGCACTGGCTATCCTTATCGATCAGGGCCGTATTGACCCGACCAAATACATTGAGATGGAGTGTGGAATTCAACACAGATGCAAAGACGAATTGTTTTCATCGTTTATACGATCTTTAAACGCCTCCCAAACCTCACGTCGCCCGGAGTCTCTCTCACTCGCACAGCTTTAACAATGAAGCTGCCCCATTTGTTTAACAGTGTAGTGGACTGATGCATGTGCCTTAAAGCGCAGAGGATATGTAGCATATAATAAAAAGCCTTCCTGTTTGCTTGGCCTTGGTGTTGTTGTCCTTACACAATAGGTGGGGAAGCATGTGGGTCTGTGCCCTCGTTGCAGTGGGAGATGTTGAGCGTGAAGGACACACAATCCCGCCAAACAGGACTGTATGTGTGTGTCTGTTTATTTCGTTTCAGGGTTGGATTGTCATGTGTGTGTGCAGACACTGGCATTTTCACATTAGCTAAGCAGGGCAGCTGCATTGATTTGTGTGACTGTGATGAATTTGGAATAGTAATTTGAATTTATTGATTGATGTGGCCGACCGAGTATGGCCCAGCCTCACTTTCAGCATCACCCCCCCACCCAGCCAGCCACCCCCACATACTCTCAGCCCACATGCGGACCTGAGGATAATGGCGATTTTAAATGCAATAAGTAAAAATGTTGCTCCATGCATTAACATACGAAGTCATTTGTCATTTCGGCCAAATTAATTCAGGGCGAACAATGCAAGCTGGAAACCTGCTGTTTCAACAAGGGGAAATAAACAGATGTAGTAGAAATATTATATTTAAAAGAAACATATAGTGTTTTATAATACATTTATAACTACTTTATAACAACAATCTATCTAGACTGAGTTAAATGTGAGTATTGTGCAGCCCTACACACACACACACACACACACACACACACACTATGTTTGATTAATACAGATACAGATGAATACAATGTGGATAAAATTATCATTTTGAAATTGTTATTTAACGGTAATAATGTCAATTGTTACACATATATTTACACACACATATTGTATGTACTGTTATACACAAACACACAGACACAAAATGTTGTGTTCGATGAAACCAGATACAGATTAATACAAAACGTTTGTCATTGTAGAGTTAATATGCTAATTTCCTCTTCTCACTTTTTGAAATTGTACTGGTTTGATTGTATTAATTGTATGTAGAGATACATACATATACACGCATATTGTATGTATTAGATTACACGTACAGACACACACACGCACCTCATACACCTGTACACGCCGTCCTACCACATTACAATACGCAGTAGGTGATCAGTGCGCGCTGGACTGTGCCACACTCCAACATGTCATTGGAACTGGGGGGTTTTATCCTGACTCCGGGTGTGGAAGATATAAAACCCCACAGCCTAATTAGCTTTAACAGCAGTGGCACTTAAAGAGACAATTGTGGGAGTGTTTAAATCTTTATTTACCAGAACCCCACTAAATGCGCAAAGGAACAATTTACATGCCATTAAGTGCTTTTCAATAGGGCATCGACTGGAACTAAAATATGCCACTATATCTGCTTAATTGAACTGTTCTCTGAAATACGACGCAGAGGAGCTGATTGACGTTTGAGAGCGCATGCACATCTGAACAGGGCCTTTACACAAACATCAATGAGGGGGGACCTCACTCACATCTCTGTTTTAACCCCGCTGCGAGTCTCTCGGTTTCATTTACGTCCTGTTAAGCAGGCTGTAAGTGTTAAAGGGGTTTTAAAGGAAGGGGGCGGGGATGTTGGTTCAAATCACAGCGTTTAGTGGGATAATGTTTGAGCAATACAAATCAGAGCAATGGATCAAGGAGATGAAACATCCAGGCAGAGGTACAAATCGTCTCTTAAATCGAGCACTGGGAATGTCGAGGACTTTCTGTTAGTGTGTCCCACTCATGCTTCGACAGCTGCAGAATATCTAAACAGGCCCTAAACCAACTTTGGAGACAAGATATCTCTTAGTGCACATGGCGACAACAGAGGCCAGAGAAAGACGCATCTGTTTGTGTCTCTGTCTTTCTGATCCAAATCGATCAGTTATTATTATACGCCACTCTGAAAGGGGACCCCTGGACCTGAAATATTGATCCATTGAGGGGTCACGCTGCCCCTGACTCTTTGGCCAGGCCTCAGACGATCCTCGTTTGCGACGATTTGACAGGGGAAGCACCAAAGTATTATATCAAGTGCGTTTGGTAAACTGGGTTATTTGAGCTGCAGTTGTCTCAGGGTGTAGGTTTGTTGTGGTTTCGGTGTGTTTTAAGTAATAGCAGCGAGATGTGATCAATTCTGGTCTCAGCTTTGATTTTCTTTGTTTGGTCTCTTCCTCTGTGTGTTTTTGTTTGTGTGAGGGAGAGAAAAAGAAGGTGAGAATGGGGGAGAGGGGTGTGTGTGCAGGCTTTTTCCGTGCGTAAAAACCAAAACATGTCTGTACGGGCTGTGTTTGCACCTGTTCTGATTTGGATAGATGCCACCTCTCTTTTGTTTATAGCACCCCCAGTTGCTGCACAAACAGCTGTACTATCATGGATTGTAGCATCAATCAAAATATAGATCCCCCCAAACATTTAACACCCAACTGTCATGATGAAGTTTTCCTCGATACAATCGACTAATAACTTCTAGTAATGTCTGTTTGAGCAGGTATTGACAGTCTCGCCACATTGACTTCTAATTGATCCCTCCACATCACTCAGGTTGGGAGCTGTCTCCTCACTCACCTGCAAGCCTAAGCGCTGACATCCGCTGGAACTCGGGCTCCTGCAGCCACTTCCACATCCTCCTGAACGTCTCCCGGCCAGACTTGAGTTTACTCCACGGTTTAGGATTCCGCAGCAGGTCGGACAGAGTTCCCTGGGACCGGCACAAGATCCTCTGAGCAAAGATGGCCTGGGGGATGCTGTAGCGCTTGAGCTCCGCTGTTATTCGCTGCGCAACCTCCTTGGTGTTTATCTCCTCCACCTGCCCTGACCCGGCTCCCTGCCCGCCTCCCACCACCGTCTGCCTGTCCCGGTCTGACAGCATGGACCCGTTTGCCTGAGAGTGCGGATGGCTGTGATGGTGGATGCCATTCAAGGATGTCATGAGCCCGGCCCCGTGGCCCCCGAGACCCCGGGCCAGGTGCTCCTCGCCCCGGGACAGCATGGCTGCGTGGGACTCAAAGCCCCCAGAGGAGAGCATCTTGTCGTTGGACAGGTGAGCTCCGGGGCCGTAGGCGCTGAGAGTCTGCTGGGAGCTGTGCAAAGACCCCAGACCGTTAGACAGAGGGGACAGGGGCTGCCCCATGCCGGACATGTCTTTGGGGTAGTGGCCGTACAGGTTACTCATGGAGGCGAGGCTTCGGTCGTCCCTCATCAGGGTGAAGCTGCCGCTGACATTCCCGGCCGCGAGTCGCTGGTGCGCCGGGTGATGGTGAGCGTGAGCGTGCGGGTGCGGATGGTGAAATTTCTCGGAGACGGTGGATATGGGGGGCAGGTGCTGCAGCGGCGTCAGCGTGGTGTAGGTGCTGCTCAGGCTCATCCCGGAGTCGCACGACATGGTCATGGCCGGATGCAGGGGGCCGGACAGAGCGTGGTCCGTGCGGTAGTCCCCCGCTCCCTCTAGTATCGAGGCCATGCTGGACACCATCGCTGACCGTCCGTGCGACACCAAGTTCCGATGCGACGCCGACGACTGGCGCGCGTGTGCGGAGTTCATTAAGTCGCTCGTTTGATGGGAGTGAGGTACACCGTGCAGATTTCCAATGTTTTCCATTGTAAGCTCCATTGTTGAAAGGATCTTTATTTCCACCCCTCTCGCCACTCTCGCTCTCTCCCTCTCTCTTCTCGCTCCCTCTCTCTCTCTCACTGTCGCTCTATCTCACGCTCCTTTCCAATAAATTTTGAACGATTTCAAAGCCAAGCCATTGATTGTAGTTGCCTCTCTGCAGTCAATCCAGCATGGTTTTAAAAGATCGGGTCCCCGGCCGCCACACAAACTGCGCCGCAATCAAACCTCTGCGCTCGGTGCGTGAAGGTGTCTAGCTGCGCCTGCCTGGATTCTCTCCGCTGTGGAGCACCACTGTACCCAAAGCGCCGCTCCGCTCTCTGTGTGTATATTGACGCGCCCGCGCTCATGTCAGCGGTGAGACTGAGCCTGTGTGCGCATGTGCGCGCCCCCGCGGTGCATCCTCGCCCTCGCGCCCTCTGTCTGGGGCCCGTCTGACGTCACTGCCCCCCCCCCCTACATGTCATGGGGTTGTTCATGTTGCACACTGAACCCCGAATTCCTGCAAAAAGATTACATTAGACACTTGTTAAGATAAAAACACAGAAGTGCAATCCTCTGCAATCCTCTTCGTGCGCAACATTTACCCTCAGATGGATAAGAGAGACTCGCTGCTTGTTTTCTCTGATAAAACCGTTTGACGCGGCGCCAGCAGCGCACGTGATGTCTCTGTGCAGGGTTAAATATTAATTGACATGTGTCACATTAGTGTTACAAGAAAAACACTTGATTGTCAGCAGGAGGTCTTGGTTTTAGTCTTTTAATTGTTTTTGATCGTTACTCTCAAGTTAAATTTAATTGAACAATTTCATATATCAACATTGTTTTCGCCCACATGTGCCACATCTCACAAATCCGGCCCACATACAGTTAGGAATGATGACACTTGGGCGGTCAGCTCCTGTTACCAGATCTGAGCCTTATGGCATGTCAACCAAAGGTGGCAATGGTAGCTTGAATTTGTTTGGTGTGATTTGGGCCAAATTGAATTCTTAAGGTTCACATCCAGATTACACCTCGTCTACAGCACCACATGTTTGATTTCAAAAGGCCCATATTTGTTTTTTGATATTTGGACCACTATTCTACAAGTGGGGCACTTCAGGCTCACATCTGTTTTGTCTGGGCCACAAGAAGACCAGAAGTGCCACTTCATTGCCTGAAGTAGCCCACATCAGTATGCTATCATGTACAAGAAAGTAACCAGTCCTTTTAGACAACTGACTGTGTGGATGACCTTTGACACAAATTGTAATCAGATTACCAATAAAATTATATCTCCCTCGCC